GCCGGCAGGATGCGTGTATCCCTTCGGCCTGTGGACCGGCCATCTTGGACACCGGCCGAAAAAGGGCGCCGCTGGATCGGCCCGTCGGGCGGACATGCGTGCAGAGGGGGGCGGGGCCTGTGGCTGTGCCCGCGTGTGTATATGCGCGGGGAAATGTACACGTCTCTGTGAATGTGGATGTGAATGTACGAATGTGCCCGTTAGTGAGAGTATGTGGCCGCGCGCACGCACGCACGCGCGCACGCACGCACGCACGCACGCACGCACGCACAACTCCAGCCGTAGTCGCTAGCCCGGGCCGACAAGCAAAGGGTGGGGGGGGGGGGGGGGAGAGAACTAGGTGCCAGGCCCAGGGGCTCCGTTCCCGGGTCCCCAAGGAAAAAGAGCCGGCCTATTTCCTGCCTCCCGCGCAGCCCCCCTCCCCGCTGTGGAACGCCTGCCTGCCCGGTATTTCCCTGCCTGGCCCCTTCCCCCCGGCCCCCGGGGGGCCCGCCTCCCCGGTGTTCCCCCGCCGGCCCCCCCCCCCCCGCCCCCCCCCCCCCCCCCCCGAGGGCCCACCTGTTCCCCGAGACTGGTGTGCCGCGCAGGCGCACACAGGGCCGCGCATGGGGTGGGCGCCCGCACGCGAGAGTGGGGCCTGCCACCAAAAAGGACGGGAAAAAACCGTCGCGCTTGGGAGTAACGAGAGATTGGTCACGTGGATTGTAGCGGAATTTAAACTCCGCCCGAGGACCGACCTCCTGGTCGGTGGGGCTGGGGGAGGGGGTGGGGGGGCGAGGAATTTGGCCGTTCCATGCCCCCAAGAGGATGGGGGAATTCGGGCGCCTTTGTGTCTGGCCCAAGGCCACCGGGACGATGGCGATGGCCGCCACTGGGCCGGCGCATGCACTCCCAGTAGAAACACACACGCACACGCACACGCACACACGCACACACACACACACGCACACTTCGTGCAACGTGGCGCCGGCCCTGCCCCCGGGCAACCACTTGGTCGTGACGGAAGGCCGGAGGCCGGAGAACGCGGGCCGATCCGGCCAAGGAGAAGACGCAGGGCAGGAAGGGAGGCTGGCCCGGGGCCGGGGGGCGGAAGCGAAGACCGGCGGAGCATCGGCGTGAGGCCTTGAAGGGCCAGCCCCCGGCCAGGGGTGTGCCAATGAACACCCGGCATTCGACTGCGCCCCCGGCCGACCCCCTCCCCTTCTCCCCTCCCCCCCCCCCGCTCTGGGTTTGTTTGTTTTTTCTCGCCTGCCTGCCCGCCCGCCCGCCCGCCCGCCCACCCGCACCTGCTCCATCACTCCATCGTCCGGTCAGGAAGAAAGCCCCCTGAGGAAGATGTCCACCGCCGCCGGCGCCCCGGGCCCGGAGCATGCCGCTGGCCATGATGAACAGCTCCAGAAGCTGACACAAATCAACGCCAACCTGATCGAGGGCCTGGCGAAGCTGGTAGCTGGTGGTGGCCCGGCGCCCGGGCCACTTCCCGGCACCCAGGCAGCCACCCCTGGCTCGCTCCCCGGCGGCGGCCTCACGCCCAGTGCCTCGACCATGTCCTTTCACGATGTGCTTGGGACGGTTCCTCTCTCCGGCAAGGTACGCCTGGTCAGGAGCCCGCCGGCCGTTTTTTTGCCCCTGCCCCCACTCGGCCAGCGGCTCTGCCACCTTTGTCTGACGCAGCTCGCGCCTCCCGCCCCCCTCCACCCCCCCCCTCCTCAATGGCAGGATGACCCACCGAAGACGCCTGCTCGGGTATGTTGCGCCTCTTCAACTTGACCCTGCTCGGGGGTGTTGCCCTCGGCATTGCGATCTCCAAGCGGAGCATGCCGGTCTCCCGCGCATACTAACCCCCCTTCTGCCTGGCCGCTGGTCATCTTCTTTTTCTGCTGCCCCCTCCCCTCCCCCCCCCTCCTTCTCGCCTGTAGAGCTCCCTCTCTTCGTTGATTAGCACCCCCAGCCGGCTGTTCACCAGTGGCAAGAAGTCCAGCGGCGCCGGGGTCCGCATTTCCAGTGTCTCGCAGACCGGCACGGTTCTCGGCCCGGTGACCAACTCCGTGCTCTTGGTGACACACCCCTCCGGGACCGAGGCCATGGGGGGTGCCCCGCCGGCGGCCGCCACCATGGAACTCCTGCCCAATGGGCAGGTCCCCCTGTGGGCCGACACCGTCAGCCGCAGCGTGCTCGTGCATCTGACCACGCGCGAGCGCAAGCGCCAGGAGGCCATCTTCGAGCTGCATCGGACCGAGACGATCTTCGTTCGTACGCTGGCCGAGATCGAGCATGTACGGCCAGGCGCATGGTCTCCCCGCACATGGCCCGGTGGCTGAGCTCCCCTCTCGCACTGAGGCAGGCCGTTTTCCTCTGCTCTCTTTCCTGACACCCCCCCCCCCACTCCTCCCCTCGCCCCGGTCTTCCCTTGCCTGTATTAGATTTACTTCCATCCCCTGAACAAGGCCGACTTGCCGGTGGCCAAGGAGAGCTTGGCCCTCTTCTCCAACTTCCATGAGATCACTTCGGTCCATGCGGCCTTCACGGTGGCCCTGAATTCTCGGCGCTTCTCCTCCCCGACCCCGGTCATCAAGAAGATCTCGGATCTGGTGCAGCCATTTGTGCGTGATGCTCCTCCCCGCTGTCACTGTCGCGTGCTCCCCCCGGATCCTGTCGGGAGAGGGGGGCGTGCTTTCCATCGCCCGCCGCCACATGATGACATACTCTCCACTCACACACACACACACACACACACACACACACACACACACACACACACACACACACACACACACACACACGCATGCGGGCGCGCGCCCCAGATCGAGTCGCTCCAGCTGTACCTGCCGTACTGCCTAAACATCCCAAAGGTGGAGGCCGAGCTGAATCGCCTCCGCCAGGCCATCCCCGAGTATGAGACGGTGCGTGCCTCGGCTGTTTGGGGGGGGGGGGGGGGGGGAGAGTGCCTTCGCTGCTTCTGCCATAGTTCGGCTGCCTTTGCGACACACCACACACTGGCCATGTGCGTCCATGTGCGTGTGTGTGTGTGTGTGTGTCTGGCCCTATGTCCGGAGGCTGACCTGCCTGTACAGAAAATCCGCGACGCCATGGCCGCTGTGCGGCCCGCCACCGCGGCCAGCACCGGCGCCCCCGCCACCGGGACCACCCTCATGTGGAATCCCCATGAGAATTTGATGCAGCCGATGAACCGCCTTTTCAAGTATCCGGCCCTGCTGCGCCAGATCTGCACCTACACGGCGATCGATGGCCCGGGAGGCGATCTGGATGAGCACCTGGCCCTGGCCCGGTGCTGCCGGCAGATCGACGCCCTGCTGCAGCAAATCAACGAAGCGCAGCGTGCCAGCGAGGCGCGCGAGCGGCTGGCCTTCCTCCAGCGGGCCGTGGACTTTGCCTCGGTGGCGCCGGGGTTCCGCCTGACGGCTGGGCCTGGCGAGGGGGTCCGCTTCGAGAGCCCGATCACGCACATGGAAATCGGCCGCGATTGCTCCATTCAAAGCCGCCACGAGCTGACCATGGTGTGTGTCGGCCGGCACTTGCTGCTGCTTCGGCGCCCGACCGCCGGAGCCGAGCGCCTGACGCCGATTGAGGCGCCGATCGACCTCGACGACGTGACCACCTTCAACATCCCGGACCCCTCGCCTGGTGCGTGCTCTCGCCGTGCTCTCGCCGTGCTGCCGCTGCCCTGCCCCCGATCGCGGCCCACTTTCTAACCCCTGCAGCTGCCTTGTCTCCCTTTCCATACCCCCCCCCCCCCCCCCCCGCCCCGCCCCGCCCCGCCCCGCCACACACACACACACACACACACACACACACACACACCACTTCCCTGCCTCGGCTTCGCCTCCTTCTCCTCGCATGACGCAGGCCTGCGCCACCTGTTCGAGCTGCGCATCGCCCAGCCCAAGCAGCTGATGGTTGTGCAGGTCCCCTCTGCCGAGGACAAGCAGCAGTGGCTGGGGCTGCTCCGCGAGTCGACTCTCGACGCTCAGGCGGCCTATGCCAGCCTCCGGCTGCCGGTCGACACGGCCGCCTCGGCCGGGACCCCAACCACGCCAACCGGGGCCGAGGGCGCGCCGGGAGCCGAGGGTGCTGCCCCGGCGCCTGTGCCCCTGCAGCCGCTCGGCGTGTCGCTGGCCTCCAACCGCGACGAGTTGCTGAACTCCCCGGCCGCCGGGCCGGCGGTCTCGTGGCCGAAGTTCTTCCGCCGGTCGACCAGCTCCGGTGCCATTTCGGTGGCCGCCAGCGGGGGCGGCACCGGCGGCGTCGGCGGCGGGCCCGGCGCCTCGACCACCGGGACCCCTGGCTCCCAGTCCAATGCCCTGGCCATCACAAAGGCCGTCATCTCCACCATCTCCACCGGGTCGGGCCTGGCCACGCCACTGGCCGGCGGGTCGGGTGCCGGCGGCGCCGGTGGCCCGGGGGTTCCCCTGCCGCCCGGTGTCGGCGTCCGGCGCGAGCGCGTCAGCTCCAACGAGGTGGCCCTGACCGATGAGCAGATGGGTCTCTGCCACAATGAGCGGAACATCTTCAAGACCGTGGTCATGGTGCAGCAGCTCCGGGACAGCTCCTGGGAGAAGCTCGGCCGCGGCGACCTGATGCTGGCCTTCCACCTGGATTCCGGCAAGACGCGCATCATCTACTATCGCGACGACTTGAAGAATCTTTCCTGCATGACTTGGTCCCTGAATGCGTGGCTCATGCCGCGCATGGTGAACGACCGGTATGGCGAGCGCACGGTCAACATCGTGCTGATCACTGCCCCCGGCGAGATGGGGTCCTTCAGCATTACCTGCCGCAATGCCGCCCTGGCCGATGAATTCCACCAGCTGATCGGCCGGCACATGAACCAGCTCCATGTCGGGCCGGGCGGCCAGCCCCTTGGCCCGGTTCTGCCCTGTGGTCCGACCGCGGCCAAGGCCGCCGCCGAGAAGCTCGCCGGCAGTGACATCGCCAGCACCACTCCCACCGCCGCCACCCCTGTCACCACCACCACCACCACCACCACCGCTGCTGCTGCTACCGCTGCTGCTGCTGCTACCGCTGCTGTTGCTACTGTCACGGGCGAGGCTGCAGCCGGTCCCGCGGCCGAGATCACCACCGACAGTGTGTCCGGGGATCCTGGCGCCCCCGCCAAGGACATGGCCGCTGAGGATGCTGCGTCCATGGAGGCAGTGACCGCTGAGGCTGTCGCTGCCGAGCCTGCTGCTGTCGAAGCTGCTGCCACCGCTGAGGCGGGTGACACCACCGAGGCCGGGGCGACTGCCAATGTCACCGAGCCCTCCGGGACCGGTGTGCCGGCCTCGCCTGCTGTCGCTGCCGCTCCCGGTACTCCTGCTGGCACTCCGGCATCGCCGACCCCCATGGCCGCGGCTGTGGCGGCTCCGCTTCCGGCGTCGCCGATCCCCTCGGCCGCCCTGCACACCCCTCTGCCGGCGTCGCCACAGCTGCTGGTGTCGGTGGCCCAGCACCGGCAGCTGGAGGCGGCCGCCAGCGCGGCCGGGCTGCGCTCGCCCCAGACGCCCAACCGCCTGTCGCGCTTCATCGAGTCGCACGTGCCTTCGTCGCCGACGTTGTCGGGCGCCCCGCCGCCTGTCATGGCCGAGTACCCGGAGCAGCTCCCCCGGTCGCCGATCCCCGTTCCCCGGACGGCGGATGTCCTGTTCGCCGACTCCGAGAGCGACAGCGACGCCATCCCGGTTCTGCTGCGCGTGTCTTCCGACGAGGAGACGGAAGAGCATGAGGACGAGGTGGAGGGGCTGGCCCTGGCATCGACGGCCGATGCCGGCCACGCCGGCGGGCAGCACGATGAGGATGACTTTGACGCGCCCTTCTTCGTGCGGCTGAATGACGCGACGGACCTGCTGCCGATGCCCAGCCCGGCGCAGACGGCCGCCCTCCTGGCCGCGGCGGCCTCCTCCCCCACGGCGGCCATTCCCTCATCGCCGGTGCATATCCTGCTGAGCCATGCCATGCGGTCGCCGCCCCCGCCGCCGGCATCGCCGCTGGCTGCCGGCGCGCGTCTCGGCCTGGCGGCCACGCTGGTGGAGACGCCAGCCGGGCGCATGGCCCTCGGTGGTGGCAGCGCCGCGGGGCTGGCCGGTGCTCGGCGCCGGCCCGGTACCCCGGCCACGGCTTCGCTGCTGGCCACGGTGACCACGGCCCCGGCCGAGTCGCCGGAGATCCTCGGCACCGACAGCCTGCGGGCCGTGGAGCTTGACGATGGCACCGCGGCTCGGGCACATGCCGGCCCCCAGGATGAGACTGTGCCGTCCTCCTGCTCGTCCTCCGACGGTGGGCATTCCAGCGATGACGACGACGATGACGATGACGACATGTACTTCACGCCGATGCGGTCGCTGGATACCCCGGCCGCGCCGGCCACCGTGGTCACGGTCATCCGTCAGCCGGTTGGCAATGTCCAGCCGCTGGTGAGCACCCCCCTCCCGGTCTTGGGGACCGGCGAGTCGACGGGCCAGGCCCGTGCGCTGGCCGGGCCGCTCGGGGCCAGCGACGACTGCCTGTCGGCCCTGCCGCAGCCCATCCGCGGCCCGCTCTTCGAACCGGTGGCCGGGGATGCTGGGGCCGCCTCGGCGCCGGCCGCCGCCGGCCCTGTGGCCATCTGCCTGGACACCTTCGATCCGGACACGTGCGACGATGTGGTCGCCCTGCGGCAGTATTCGCATGCGGTGCGCGCTGCCCTGGAGGCCGAGCGCGCGGCCGTGGCCGACCTCACCCGCCGGCGAACCTACGAGCAGGCGGTCGTCACGCGGCTCATGCAGCAGTACAACAATTACCGGGTCCATGCGGAAGCCGAGCTGAGCCGACTGCGCGAGCAGCGCAGTGTCCTCTTCTCCAGCCTCCCGGTCAATAGCCCCGGCACGCTGCTGACCGTTCAGACTGGCACCCCGGCCACTGGCGACATGGTGGCTGATGAGGTGGGCGCCGCCGCTGCCCCGCCCTCTCCGTCGCCCCTCCCGCCGGCGTCGCCCCTGGCCACCGGCGGTAGTGAGTAGCCAGCTGCTGGGCGATCTCCTCCTCCTCCTCCTCCTGCACCTGTGCAGGAATGGGTCCATCAAAATAAACATGCATTTTCCCATGTCCCCCTGCTGGGCACCTTTTCCCGCGTTGTGGCCGGCTTGTGGTGGACGTGCAAGACCCCGGGCGAAAGAAGGGCGGGAGAGAGGGGCAGGGTACTCTGCTCCTTGTATCCTGCACAGCCAGGCACGTGCCGATCGACGCGCCGGAAGAGCCGACATGCGACGGGCTTCTTGGTGTGCCGGTCACCGGCCACACCTCTGTGCCAGTTCCCCCTCCCCCGCCCCCCTTGTGTACACTTGCTGCTTCCGGGACCCTGTGCACCAAGGAGCTTGACAAAGCGCAGCGCCTCGGTGCAGCTGCCCTGGCTGTTTGCTGCATGCGGGCGGGTGTCGTTGCACATGCGCCCTGCCGTAGGGTAGTCTTATGTTCGGATCTCACCAAAGAATCTGCCCCCCCCCCCCCACCACCACCACCACCACCACCACCACCACCACCACCACCACTACCATCATCAGTCGCCCCCGCTACATGTGCCTGGCACCACACCCGGACGACTTGGCACCTTTGCGGCCCGGCGACCGAAAAAAGCATCAACATTCACATGCACCCCCTGGCACGAGCCTTCTTTTTCATTGTTGCCGCGCGCGGGCGCGTACAGAAAGGCGCCTGGGAGGCGGGGGAGGAGAGATGCCAGCGCAAGACATCGGCCAGCCGCAAGGACATGTTGCTCTCGGAGGGCAAGCTGGAGGGCGGGGGCTGGGTGCATCAAAACACGGGCGGCACCCAGGTGGTGATCTTCCGATTGTGGTCGACATAGAACAAGCGCGGGGAGAGGACACCCGGGCGGACATTGCCATTCTGCCCGGCCTCGGCATCGCCCCAGGGTGTCGGCACGGCCACATAGCACTCCCAGCCCGGGGGCAGGCGCACCGGTGGGGCGGTCACCTGCTGCGACACGCGCGGATCGACCCACGACATCGGGGCCATGTCGTCGACCTGCGGCCCGGCTGCCCCGGAGCCAGGCGGGCGCGGGCGCCCGGCAAACACCTGCCGGCGGAAGTAGGTGCGGCCGTCAGGCCCGACGCCCAGGTCCCACCCGGCCGGCATGGCATACGGCCGGTACCGGGAGCTGGGCACCAGCGGGGCCACCTGCTGGGGATTGGCCCCGGAGGCGGAGGGCAGCGGCGCGTCGGCCCCATGTGCCCAGTACTCGGTGGATCGGGTCAGCCCGTACACCAGGTCCGAAGGGTGTGGCGCCGGGGTGCTCAGCCGCAGGGGGGAGGCCCGCCCGATGGCCGGGCTGCTGTAGGCCGGGGCGGCCGGGCCGGGCTCCATGAACACCGGACTCGGCTGGCCACCGGTGCCAAAGAGCAGCGGCGTGTGCATCTGATAGGGCGGGGGGCTGCGGGTGTTGGCCGCAACAGCGCCGGCCCCCCCGGCCCAGGGGGAAGCGACCGCCGCACCGGGCCACTGGGTCTGCACATCGCCATACCCATTGGATTGCAGCAGCGCCGAGACATTGATCTGGTTATTGGACGGGGGGCCGGATGACCCGCCCGACGCCGGCGAGAGGGCGGGGTAAAGCCCGGAGCCGCGAGGAGGGCCCTGGAAATCGGCCGACCACTGGTGGGCCATGGTGGACGGGTGAGAATGCGTGGCGGGAGGACGAGGGGAAAAGGGGAGCAGGGGCCCGGGAAGTGACGAGAAGGCGCCGGGAGGAAGAACGCGCGCGCCGGGAGGGTGTGCGAGAGGAAGGGCATGGGTGGTGCGTATTGACCCTCAGAAGCCGGGCCATGGTGGCTGATGAGGCACCCTGGCTTGGGGCCGGAACAGAGCCGGCCCCGTGCTGGCATGCCCGACCTGGTAAGGGGCTCGACACCTGGCCCTGGACATGGTCGCAGGCGACGCCCAGGCCATCGTCTTGCTGAATGCAAATGCCCCATCCACAGGTCTCCCAGGCTCGGGGCTCGCCATCCTGCTGGGATCTCTCCCGGCCGCCGGATCTCTCCCGGCCACTCCCTCCCCCGCATGTCCGACACCTCCGCACATCTACACACACATCCGCACATCTACACACACATCCGCACATCTACACACACGCACACACACACACACACACACACACA